TCATTGTAATCAGAGGAATTCTCAAGGACTCTTCTTGAGGCAGACATTATTATGGGGCTTGTTAACGTAGGTACATAGGGACACTAGCTGCACCATCATTTGATGGAGCAGCTCTCTTGACTGGCAAAAAAGCGAGAGAAAAACAAGAAGGTGGAAAAAATAGGAATCCCAAATGATCTAAAGCAAAAGTAACAAAATCAAGTTTTGAGGTAAGTTTTAAAACATTCAGTGGCTCAGGGGTTTAAAGTCCATAAAGGCAAAGCATTCCACAATCATAGTATATCAGGAGAGCAGGTTTTCTTTTCCATGATGCTCAGTTTGGACTGAATGACAAACAGTTAACTAAAGAGCACAAAATAAGAGATTATGTTGAGAGTAGGCTGTTTTTGTATGAAAGAACAATACCACAAATTTGAAAATCGGTTCTAAAGGTAATAGGCAGTGTGATACAGGGAAGAAAGGAGACAGGTGATTATACCAACATTTTAGATACTGCATGCTTTTGCATAAACTTGAAGTCTGTCATAGAGAACCCGGCCAAAAAACTCGATAAGAGCAAATCCAAAGTGCCGCAGGAAGAAAACATATGTCACTGGTTCTGGGAATTTAATATTCCTGTGTTATTAACTAGGCATTTAAGTATGTGACAGGGTCTGGTTGCTTCACGTGGTTCGTGAAGTTGCTGCTTGGTCTCCTTGTTATCTTTCCCCAGGTTCTTGCCATGAACGTTGTATGAGCCTACACAGCATCTGAGCAAGTGTGTCCATCAGTGCATGAGAATGAATCTATTTTGGCCTCAACAGGCATTGCCCACATGAAATTGTTGCCATCTGCCTGTGTTTATGCATGAGAAGCTCTTTGGGGGTTCTGAAAACCGAAGTTGTTCTTCTGTGTCATATTCCTGTGGTGTTACTGCCTCATGATAAATCTTTTGGTTAGCATGTGCAACCTTGAGGAATTCAGAGATGAATGTGTGTTTATTTAAATACATACAGAATTATATACAGATGGTAGTTTTCATTTTAATCAGTGGTATGTAGACTGATCCAGAAAATCTATGGGGTCACCATAAATCACCCATTCCTGAAAATTGGAAACACTTTTTAAGTTAATGATCATTAAGCAAGTAATTTGTTCAATTAAGGGGACTCTTGTCCTTGAGGAATTAAATTAAGATTTTTGCTTTAGGTGGCCTCTGAATTACTTATTATAGCCAATCACCTACTTAATTACTCACAATCAATTTGTACCCTGTCTTTTGAGATTAACGATTTAATTGTTAGCTATAAATCCTGTTGGATTGCGGTTGTTCAGGAGAAAGATGGAACTACTGGTTTAAATTGTTCCTTATATTAATAAAAAAGGTTTTGTGCTGATTGTCATGACCATTTGTAAATAAAATACCTTGGACATTGATCAGAGCACTGAGACATGTGAGTACAAAAGGTTACTGATTTTCAAATGAAGTCTAAATGACTTTGGTAATAGAATGAGAACCTGTTAAAGTACACAGTCAGAGTAACAAGGAAGTTGAAACTAACAGTTTTATAGCTTAAAGCTTTTAAGTGTTCAAGAATGATCTGGAAAAAAGTAATTAAAATGCCTCAGGGAAATAGCCCTAATAAATTTCTCCACCTACAGAGTTTTATAAACTTTCATTTAAATGTAAGAGCCCAGTAATGGACAGGAAGGCTTTTTTATTTTTCCTGCTGTGGAGTTGCTCTCCTTGTGGCATGAGGGGGCTGTTTAAAAGTGGACTTGTTAGCGCTGGGCACTGTCACTGGGCGCCCCCAGAGAGCCTGCTTCTGCGTAATTATCTTGAAAGAGAAGGTTATGAAGAGCGCTCATTGGATAAGAAGCAAATTTCAGCACCTTCTATTTACTCCCTGTTTCATTTTTCTGCCACAACCTCCTTTCCACACCTAATTGCACTTCTGAGTTGCCCTGTTCAATGATCTGAGACAGCTGGCGACATTTTGAAATTATTGTAGCTGCTTATCAGGGGCAGAAACTGCCAAGAGTGCAGGAGAGTCAGAGCCATGGATGTAGTGTCAGCTTTCTGCGTGTAAGCGCTACAGAGAAATGGAAAAGGCGGGAAGTGTTTGGCAGATAAGCAAGCAGTATAAAAGAGATTCTTGTACAAACTACGGCCAATTTTTGTTTTTTCTACAGTTAATTACCATTTTTATTTTGTGAAATAGCTAGCACAAGATGCTTCACAGCATCTTCTTACCTGGTCTTTTCCAGTTTTCCTGAATGTCCTCAGACTTGACGATTTGAAAATGTGAGACAGCCCGGCTTTCATCAGAAGGCAGAGATTCTCCTCCAGAACCAAATCTTTGTTCTCAGAGGAGTGGAAACTCTGAATTTGTCAGCTAATAAAGTACTTGTGGGAAACACAAAGGTCTATTGTAATTAAAATTAGAAGCCAAATGCAAACTCTTTTGCAGTTCCACATGTATGCTCAGTTGTGTTCACAAAAATCTGATTAATTAAGACTACTAAATGTATATTTAGTAGTGGTAATCCATTTATGACAGAGAACAATTATTGGTATTAATTATTGGTATTAATAACATTACCATTTGCAAATTAAAATTCATTATGTATATGGATAGATTGTAGAACTCAGTTCAAATTACGTTTCTTCATCTATATCCATACAATTTAGTCCAGTGCGTTAATACATTGTAATTCCACATTTTCAGAAGGGATTTGGCAGGGCATGGGATTTGGTGGTAAGTGATTTATGTCATGAATATAAATGTCTATACCCAAAAGGCCCCACAAGATAAAATTACACATGGCAAATTTGGAGCAAGGCCCTCTTTCCATTCAGCTAAGACTCCTTATAAGACTATTAGTTAATGAATTGAGCTGTGTATCCCAGCGGACTCCAGATCTAGCTACTGATCCAATAGTGAAGGAGACAATGCTTCTTTAATTTATGCAGGAAGCTATTGTCATTGATATTATTATTATTATTTGTAACAGCTGCACGATGCCAATGTTTTTGTCTGCTAACTAATTAGATAAAAGAAAAGGATTTCAGCACAGCCTTCAGAGTGTTAAAATTAGGCTCTGGCAGCAGTATAGACCCCTGCTGTTTGTCCCTTACTTCAACTCATTCTTCATATTTACCAGATGCAGCCTTACTGTTATTCCCTAGAGGTAGGCAGCACACCAAGGCTGATGAAGCACTTTTACTGCCTTCTAACAGCCTCTGTGCTGTACTCCCCCACATATGCACATTGCTGTCCCATCACAAATCTAAGGCTAATGCTCCAACAAAGAAGCACACCTGTATAGACAGCGTTCAGTTCTGGATCAAAAAAATTCAGATTAGAATGGGACACACCATTGTACTGTACATTCTGGCTAGAGACATATAGGAGGTAAGTTGTTAGGATTGATTATTATGAGCAAATATATGATATGTGAATTCTGGGGATGTCTCCTGCAGTTTTAGAGTAATTTATGATTTCCTCTGTGTTTTTTAGCTTTATTTTGTAAGGCCGACGCCTGAAGGTTGCTGGAAGGTGCTAGAAATAAAAGGCAGGCCGTTATTTTCCCACTGAGCAGGCTGTTGGCAGCCTGCCTGCTCCACAGTAAAAGAATTAGTCCATTTACCCTGAGAGGAAATCAGGCCCAATAGGTTCTGTATCAGTGCATGTCTGATTTTCTTTTTACCAAGGCTCAAATGCTGCTGAATGAATGAATGAATGATCACATTTCTGGTGCATTAATTCACAGGACCAAGACCTGCTAGCTCATCCAGTTTACTGCATTTAAATGGATTTTGCAGCTGCCAAGGAACTGCCAAAAGACATCCACTCAATATGAAAAGAATGCAAATACCAGTAAAAATTGTACAAAACCAGGTTCAGATTAATAGTCATTTTTTTGCTCAGTAATACTTCTTTGGGAGGTTACAAAATTCATAAAGTCCAAGAACAAGTGACCAAAACCACTGGTCTTTATGTTTCTCTAAGTCATAGAAATTAAGTCTTAAATTTGCATAAATGTGACTGCATTTAATGTGAAGCTAACCATTGTATCTAATTATAGCATTAATTGTATATTTGGATTTCCCATTAAAACAGTAAAGACGATTTCCTCCAGGATATTGTAGTCATGCATTGACCGGCTAACGATGTTACCATTAATCCAATTACAAATTTGTGTCAACAGAAGGGGAATAGCACTGTACAAGACAAAGAACAAGCTAACTGCTTGGTTTCAAGTACAAAGATATTACTCTGGTTCTTCATAAAGTAATTGTATTCAGTCCTTTCTAATCTATTCAAACAAAGATAACATATCTTATGCTCTGTAGGTTCTGTAAGCAGTGTAATATAAATAATTACAAGATCCAACTTTGAAAACAAGTTTCAAAATGTGATCAATATTTTTTCTATAGTTTGCATTGTGGTATTGCATAATTGCTAATTGGTTTGTCTGCAAGCCAGTTCACACTCTACACCCACTGGAGGTTGTAGGCAGAGCAGCGCCCTCCAGTTCTGAAGAGGTTAATCAAGGGACACTTACAAAGTTCACATGCTAGGATTTCCTTGCTGCTACTTTGTTTGAGATACAGCATGCTTTGTGACTTCTGCATAAACGCTGCACTGTCTAAAGCAGAATTAGAGCAGCTTTTCTTTTCCTGAGAAAATGTGGTTCCTTCCAGGAACCTGATTAAGCAATTAGTAATACTATTTTCATGTATTGATTAAAGAAAGTGCAAAGATCAAATGAAACAGATAAAAATATAAGGCTGCATACTGTATATAGACTCAGTTTGATTTAATATGCAAAGACTGTAACTACCTTACATTTCCATAACTGTGATTATTGATAGCAGCACATAATTTCCAGTAAAGAGGAAAAATAGACGTTTCAGACTGCATCAGGGAAGAAAAAGTTAACTGTCTTTCTTTTTACTTATTACCTTCCCCATTCCCTTCTGTGGCTGACCTCCAGTCCTTGATTTGTGTGTTCAGGAGAATCCTTACCTGTGCAGCGACGAATGTGATGCCTCCAACCCTGACCTGGCCCACCCTCCCTCTTTCATGAACGACACCGAGCAAGATGGCTTGATCACGTACTGGCAGACTGTCACGTGGAGACGCTTTCCAGACCCCTTACTGGCCAACATCACCTTGTCCTGGGGCAAGAGCTTGGAGCTGACGGACGATATCTTGATCACCTTCGAGTATGGCCGCCCCACCATGATGGTGATGGACAAGTCCATGGACAATGGGCGGACGTGGCATCCCTACCAGTTCTACGCCGACGACTGCATGGAGGCCTTCGGCATGCCCCCCAAGAAAGTGCACGACTTGTCGGCCACCAATGTGACCCGAGTCATTTGCACGGAGGAGTACTCCCGCTGGGTGGGCTCCAAGAATGATAAGAACGTGCGCTTCGAGGTGCGAGCGCGGTTTGCCATCTTCGCCGGGCACAAACTGCAGAACATGAACAACCTCTACACCCGTCTGGAGAGCATGAAGGGCCTGAGGGACTTCTTCACCATCACCAACCTTCGGCTCAGGCTCCTGCGCCCAGCCCTGGGTGGCACCTATGTCCAGCGAGAGAACCTCTACAAGTACTTCTACGCCATCTCCAACGTCGAAGTCATGGCGAGGTGAGAAGCTTTGAATCTAGTAACTTATTACCCGGGATGGCTGTAATGGTTTTATACAAAGTGCATTTTGATCGATTTACAATGAGTGGCTCAATGGATTGGATTAGAAAGGAGTGACATGGTGGACCTTAGGGTAGTGCAGTCAATTCAGAGCTTCAGGATCCTGGGTTCAAGTCTAGATCTGTCTGCATGAAGTTGGTATGTCAAACAGGGCTCAATACACTGCGCATGTTACAGAAGTGACATCACCCACTTCAAACCTAGATAGTGTAGAGTTCTGCTGTGGCAAAGGACCCAGTCTCTTACCGCAGTGGAGTTTGGCGCTCTCTAGGGAGTAACACTCCAAGCCCATGAATGACCAAGATTGAATCCTGGCAGAATGGAGCTAGTATACCTGCATTACACATTTTCTCTGTGTGCATGGATTTTCTAGATGTTAGGAACTAGCAGTGAGGACCCTATGCAGAAAACCAGGGCAAACTCCAAAAGACGTAGTCGAAAGAACAATGCGAGGTCAGAAAGCCGTAGGTAAACTAGCCGGTGCAAAAGTACAAATAACCAGAGGCGGAGCCGTAATCCGTAAGGGAGCCGAGAGTCAAAACCAGAATGAGAGCAAAAGACCAAAACCGAAACCAGGAGACGTAGACGGAGAACAAACCAGGGTCAGGAAGCCAAAAACCAAGTAGTGAATAACAGTAAGACTGAGAGTAGCTCTAGACAGTAAGACCCTAATACTGAGCACAGGGGAGAGTGTGAAGCAGCATTAAATAGGCTGGGGAAAAGGGCTAATTGGGAACTGTGCTGGAATGTGAGGTGGAATGCCGACTCCTCCAGGGGCATGGCGTAACACTAGAAGTCTAGATCAGTTGGTGTCTATAAATTGCCCCCTGCATCTGGGCCCTTTAATGAACTGGCATCCTGTGCAGGGTGTAGTCCTGCATTGTGCCCTGTATCTGCCAGTGTAGCCCTGGGCTCACCACGGCCCTGAAAGGATACAGTGGTGACTGAAAATAGTAGGATTGGTTGGAAGGCCGTGTTAGCTATCAAATATTGGTACATAACGTTGTCATAGATATTAGCCACCATTCTCCATTCCACACTCCACTACTGTGAGTGACAATGCTGAAAATGATGTTCTTTTTTGAACAATTGAATGAAAACAAGAAATTGTTGCATGCATATGAAAATGCTACCCAGTACACTTTGGCTATTCTGCCTCTAAATTATGATCATCTTCAATTTTGGTGTACTCAGATTTTTCCGTCTCTTGTAATTTATGTCTACCCAATTCTCACGCGTATTGAAGATAGGATAGAAATCTATAATATAACTAACGACTTTAACCTTCTTCACTCAAGTAAGGCTTTACACAACTACTGTAAAAAGACAGTACCTCCCAGTTCTGCAGTATCACCTCAGCTGCCACAGGCTCTCCATGGAACAGAAAAGTATTCTGCAAACAAAGTGCTAGACATTGCAAAGAGACTCTGCACCAGGGCCTTTAATTCTATTGTTTACAGTTTACGTTAATTCCACAAACACATGCTGTTGAGCAGGTAGGGTTCTTACATAAAGCAATCAGATTTCACCATGCATTTATTCAATATTTCTAATACATTTCAGATTGCCAGAAAGCTGCAGGTATGATAAATGAAGTATAGCAATTCCCCATAATTACTTAATTGAACCAGAAATTCTAAGACTTCAACTCCAAGGTGGCTGCTGGCTGACAGTGAAGAATGGTACCGAATGAAACTACACTGTGTGATATTTGCTTCAGAAAGGATGTTTATTATTATTATTCCAATTGATTAAACACATTGGTCTCTGAATGGTATTTAATGTCAACTGAGGACTGAAAACAATACACTAAGCAAGATTATATGGAACAAAGCATGTGTGGGCAATTGCTTGTGAGGGACAGAGCTCCAGTAAGGTCTTAAGGTGATGCTGAGCTGGCTCGTTTCGTGAAGTCAGATCCCGTCTTTCGGTTTTCAATAACTGTCCTGTAAGTATTGATCAAAAATGTAACTGGAGACAGATGAAACATATCAGGAAAAAAAAATCCCATCTCAGCTGTGGAGCCTAAGATGAACAGAGATGAAAGAGCAAGCCTTTTTTTGCTGACATCTAAATCCAGAGCTTTTTTTGCCTCTGAATTTAGTAACACTGAGGCAAATATAAACTCTGTGATAAAATGAATGAGGTTAGTTCTTCTCCTACCAGTAATATAATCCCCCAATCAATAGTTATTTCAGGATATTGGAAAAAAGGAGAAGAGAGGGAGGCAGACTGACTACACTGGATTGAGGGCACAGTGTTATCCGTTTATTCAAGTTCAAATTGGCAAAATGAACCATATTGCAAACCAGGTCTGCATGAGGTGGCATGATGTGTTTAGTTGTCTATTACTTGAAATGTAATGCATTAACTTACAATTTCACCATAAGTGAGGCAAAGGAACATTAATGATGATGATGATGTTTCCTAAATGGAGATTTAAATCAAAGTAAAAGACGTTGAACTTTTTCATTATGTTTTGCTTTACAACATAACATTAAGATGACTGTAAAAAAGGACTTCTAGTTCAGTTAAAAGGCTCTTTTAAGATCAGTAAGTGTTGAGGAGAGCATAGAGTTGTAATCATTAGTTTGTGCTCTAATTTATTTTAATGTAGTGCACATTTAAATCCATAATGTAACAAAACAAGCACTGATACTGTTATCACTTTCTCGTCTCTGGAAAAAGCTGTTTATATAGTTAAAGTTTGAACTACGTTTATATAGCAGAAGCATGGTTTATGGGTTAAATTAAAGTTAAATTATAAGGCAGGAAAAACACTGTAGCACTGTTTCTGAAGTGCATCAAAAACAGATCATTTAAACATTTTAGCAAAAATTTCTGAATTCTTCAACATAAGACAGACAAATTGCTGACCTTACAACAGTTAATCTCTCTCACATGGTCTTTTTCACTCATATGTTTTTAGATTTCTATTTAACAAGGCTACACTTTAATTCCAGAACTACCAGCAAAATGAAAGCAAGAGCAATTGTTTTTGGAGTGGCAGAAAGCATGAAAAACACTCTCTAGGAAACCTCTATGATAGGATAAATGAGCATACTGAGTTATCAAATTTAAAGTATCCGCAAATACCGAGTTAAATGCATATTGTATATCCTGTGTATGGATTCTTATTATTACAACAATGGTCTGTAGAAGAATGGTAAAGACTTGGCTTACATTAAAGTCAGGATAGAAGTTTATAAATTCCATGTTTCTAAACTACACCAGAGAGGATTAAATCATAAAAAGGGTTTCTAGCAGTCTCTTAACCATCTTTTCCAAAACCACTTAGCAAATGAGCTCTGGAGTCTAAAGAAATAAATGGGGAAGGTAGATGTGTTAATAAGATCTCTGTACTGTCAAGTGTAGCCGATACTTCCTCCACAGTTCATTTCCTCCGTGGTTAACAACGGTAATCAGCTGTAATTGAAGTTAATCAAGTATAAAAACAAAGGGCACCTGTTTCTTGTTGAGTAAAATGCAATAATATCTCATTGATTGAAATCTCTAACAGTTATTTACTTATCTATAAAACCTATTTTAGGGGTTATTTTATTAATGTTTATTTTATACTGGTTGCAGATTTGGACATTTCAGGATTATTGCCAAAATTATCAAGAGACTTGGTAAATTTCTTTTTTTAATTATTATTATGCACTTATTTCAACCATTCTTATCTCTTCAATATTGTTTTACAAGTCTAATGGTCAGTTTGAAAAATCTGCAAAGCAATTTATAGCCTTGTAAAAACCTGTAATGTCTATGAAATTGATGACAATTATATCTAAACTGCTCCTGTACATGAAACCGTAGGCCCAGGGTGCTCACAGATAACATTGTTTATCAATAAGCAGAGAACCTGATAGCCCTTTAAGCACATTCACAAGACAGCAAAAGAGGAAATCTTCAGGTAAATATAGCTCTGTCAATAAGTTGTAACCTTGGTTAGATTTATGGGGAGAAAATAAGACAGAAGTCAGATGGCACAGAGCACTGAGAATGGAAAAATAGTGCAACAATTTCATTAAAATTAGTTAGGAATAATGAAGTAGCATAATTCCCCTTAAAAATGTAATTAAATGAATTGCAAAGAGTATTGCTAAAGACTCAAATCATAACCCGTAAGCCATAATTACAGTGCCTTCAGAACATTGGAGAAGCCAACTGTCATTTCAAATTAGACCACCATCACATAGATTCTAGACAATAACAAATATTGAATATTGTAACAGTACATTTGTTATTGTCTGAATCAGTGTGATGAGCAGAAATCCCAGGCCAGGACATGGCTTCTTAGGTAGATTTCCAGCACCAGGAGCCACACAATGCCTGCCACCACGGGAGAGTTCAAGGCCACTGGTTGTCCTAAGGGTTTGCATCACCTTAAGAGTTTCATTCTTCTGTTACTTTGGTACAAGAGAGGAAAAAAAAATACTTTTCAAAACAGTCAAATATGTTAGTTATTAGTTAAATTTAAAATTTCTGGAATATTTGGAATTATTATTTGGAATATTCATTCATCCATTTTCTAACTGCTTTATGCTATTCTGAGTCACAGGAGAGCCAGGAAGCGATGGGCACAGGGCTATCACAGGGTGCACACAGACACAGATACAGACACTCTCACACCACAGCCAGTTTCCCCAGAAGCCGAAATAACTTACCAGTATGTCATTGCACTGTGGGAGGACACTGGAGCACGCAGAACATACAAACTTCACACAGATACAGTAGCACTCCAGGTCAGGAATTCAGGGCCCCAGTGCTGCAAGGTAACAATGCTGACTACTGTGCCACCATACTGCCCTATTTGGAATTATTTGTTTTTTCAGGCTCTTTTTCTGTACGGGGCTCTTACAACACAAAATTAATGTTATGCCCTTGCCTGTAAATGTGCAATTTCAAATGCATAGGATAAACCTGGTGGTATGGGG